CAAAGCATATAGAGGATCACAAAGAGGTTTGAGTCCAAGAAAATTGGGTCATCCCAACCCCAAAAAAAAGAATTGGAAGTGCACAACATGGTCCGAAATATTCAGAAGCACTAAGGATAACATGAGTATCTATAAGCCTCCTAAAAGGAAAGCATTTCACCGAGACCAAACCCTTCTTCATATATGAGTCCTTTGTACGAAACATAAAAATATTCCTTCATTTTTACTTCCTTGGAATATAGATAAGTTGACCCGGAATGATAAAAAGGGATTGGCCGGTAGAAACGAGTTTTGGACCAATATTTTTGAAAATCGCTTCTGCAAGAGTGGGAATTTCCCACTAGATCCGAAGATGAGCAGAAGTTCGTATGCGCCTTGACAATTACGGGTCTCACTAATATGAAACTCCCCAAAAACTTCCCCAATCAGAAATGAAATGGCTGATCCAAGGTACTTGGGAACGGAGAAAGATCAATCCTTGATTCTAAGCATCATCGAGCGAAGTACGAGTCACAAAGAAGAGTTCTAAGAAAATCCCTAACGAAGGCTTCCAAGACTTATACCCAACACAAAGTTGGAACATAAATATGAAGGCCCAAGCTCCAAGATGAAGTTATGAGGGGGCAACTTTTAGATGGTTCATCACAACCACCTCAAAACCAGAGAAGGGTATACACATCCCTAACATAGTGTTTAAACTGCAGTATAGCAGCAAGAAGAAAAAGATTTGGAAGAATTCCCTCTGGGATTTATATCGTTTCCACACAGATCAGTGCGAGGGAAAGAACATCGTTCGACGGTATCTACGTTTCTAAGCTTGGTTTGAACGGTTTGAGATAAAAATGCAAAAGAAAAACATATGACAAGTAAATAAAGTACGATAAATAATTTGCCAGGCATTATATTTCATTTTACCCATCAAGTACTAAAAATATCTATCAATTAAATATACACAACCTAAATCACTCGTTAATGCCCTCATGTAACGCTCACAACAGAGGTTATGTCTAACATAAAGTTGAGAGGACAATTGTATCATCACATCGATGATATCACACACAACTAGACAACATGAAGCATTAAGATCTGATACCTACGTGGATGTTAAACCTAAATCTAACAGATATTCATCTTAGGTCGAGTTCGAACCGTATATGTCTATAGCAATCCAAACCCATTAAGATAGATAGTAAATCAAAGATGACACCGATAAAGAGTCGTAAAATAAATTTTATACAAAGATCAATAAATACACAAATGCAAAATATGTAGAGAAGAAGGAAGAAGAACAAACATCTTTCGGTTTGTCAACACCGATTGAAGTAGATTCAACTCCGGATCATTAAGATGCAACCTTTATATGTTGTTTCTGAGCTTATTTCCATAAAGAATGTTGGTAATGGAGTTGGGAGCAAAAAATCCCCAAAATCATACCCTAAAACTCTGGATGAGAGGTGTTTATACAAAACAAGAAATTACAACCGCGCTAAGCGCCCTCAGATCGCGCTAAGCCCGATCTCACTTAAAGTACTAGCAAACTGCCTTAAATTGCGCTAAGCGCGCTAAAAAAACCAAAAATGGTTGCTTATGCCATCCAACTCCCCCAACGTGCTAAAAGTCGTGCTAAGCGCGAATGCTAGCATTTCGTTGGTCAAAACTGCACTTTGAAACATCCATCTCTGGCTCAAACGGGCCCAACCTTCAACCATGTATTATTACCTACAACAACAGATGAAATATACACGAAAACGCAAAATATACAACAATATGTAAATTATACAAAAAGTATACAAAAATGGGGGATTATTAAAGGAAAACAAACGAATAAATCGTTGAGTGCTAATTATTCTCACTTAAAATAACAATAATTTAGCACTCAACATCTGGTGAAGAGACATTCGTACAAGGGAATCGAGAAACCTACGAAAGAGATACGGACCCTCTCATCTAGACCTAATAGCAGAATTTCCCATTCCGACGTATCACCTATTATGATGTTGGCATGAGTTGCGGCTTCGGTGGTGTTCAAGGCAGAAGGAATCCCAACAATTTCATCGGCCACCCAATGATACTTACTTGCATTAGCCGACTCTATTTACCGAATACCCTTATGAGCCAACACATCATCTCTATGATGATTACTGGTATTGACTCAAGACACGGTGTCATGCTGCCCTTCACACTCTAAGTGACAAGCGATCTCTGCATCGCTAGGATGATGACCAATCGACTCGTGGTATGTTTAAACAAAGTGACTGACACAATCCCTCCTTTAACAAACAACTTCTATTACTTCCTTGGTCATAATATGAGGAGGCACCTGTCTCTCGACAAGGTTTCCACCCCCACCAAATTCCACGAGGAACAAAGATTCTAAAGTGTTCATGGATTGAGTGTCATTTGATAGAGATTCTCTAGACAAATTCTCCATTTCTAAACCATCACTCAATTCAATAATTTCTTATTCGAAATCCTCACTGATAGAAGGAAATGAATGAGACTCGAACTTCGTTCCCCCTCTTCAAAGATAACGAAACACTACCCTTAGAGTCATTCTCGCGATAATAGTTTTACCATTAATCGTAATAAAAATGCGATAAGAACTTGAGTAAAAGTTGATGGAAGAGAAGATACCTTGAAATAGAAAGGAAAAGACTCTAAAATGAGAAAGAAAACTGAAAAATTGAAGCTTTATCACTTCAAATTTACGAACGTGCGACAACGATTACTCTGGAAAGTAAGTGTTGTCAAACAAGAGGGGAAAACTCAAAGAAACTTAATTTGTGGACGAACTAAAATAGTTTTCCCACGTCTTATCTCTATCTTTATATATGCAAAGGCAATTGAACGGATCAAATCGAAAGCAAAAAATAAGGATAGATCGACGATCTGATTTTATCTAAGGACCTCACGTTCACTCGAGTGTACTCAAGTACACAGAAAGCTGTGTCACATCAACCTATACCTCTTCATATCACACGTCATAAAAAACGGCAAACACATCAATGATGAGACTGCATTCAATGTTTACATTTCTAATTCTGCGCCAAAACATATACTTAAAATAATAGTTTGTTAACTTTGATATTGATATTTTTTTTTAAGTTCATCCTTTTTCTTACTAAGAGGTTTACCCCTCTTGAGTTATAAAATATGCTAAATTTTTAGATCATAACTTTAAAATAATAATAATAATAATAATAATAATAATAATAATAATAATAATAATAATAATAATAATAATAATAATAATAATAATAATAATAATAATAATAATAATGTGTTTGTTTGATGATTAAATGATAATCTCATAAATATTATCTTTAGAAATATTATTTTCATCGATTTGTCTAACGATTTATTAAATTTTAAAAAAATATTTTTAATATTTATTTTATATGTAATTTTAAATTCTAAAAAATTTAAAAATAAGAAATAAAAATTTGAAAAACTATATAAGAAATAAATGCAATTTAAATTCATCAACAAACACCCCTAATAATAAAATCCAATGAAAGCTACTTGTGAAGAAATATAATTCAGTAAATGCATTAAATAACAACCACCATCTTCATAAAGTATTGGTTGAGGAATAAGGAGGCACATGCTTTTGCTTTTGTTTTGAAACCATTAATTAAACAAAGCTTTATTGAACGATAGCAAAACTCTAACCACCACATACAAAATGTAGCTTCTACTTTTTCACAAACATATTAAAACTCACTTTAATTTTAATGCTAGATAAGTGCAAACAAATATTTTTTAGGCTTAAATTTTATTCTTCTCCCTTTATATTTATTTCTCAAGTTCCTAATATCATGTAACTAAATTTAAAACCCAAACGGTTTCATTCGGATCGGTCAAATAAAAAACCCAACTCGTTATCATTCCGGTTTTGTTGTTGAACCTTTTTTGCAGTTAAACCGGTGTCAATTTGACTAGACCGGTAAAATGACCCATTTGCATGTCATTATTAAAAATGCATGTGACTGATTTTATTTAATTTTTTACATCATAGTAACCGTAAAATGACCCATTTGCATATCATTTTTTCTTTTATTTTTATTCTCATTATTTTACTTAAAATCCATTTTTATTCTTTATAGTTTATTTAATTTAAAATAATATAATGTCAATTTATATTTATCATTGAACAATTAATTTATCAGTTATCAGTCATTAGATATAAATTTTATTTTGTAAAAATAACAGATAGATTAATTTATATAGTTAATAATTAATAATTGATAGTTTATAATTTATAATTAATGGTTACTGCCTGATAAATTAATTAAAATATTTTAATAAATTAACAATTTAACTAATTTATAAATATTAAATAACATAAAAGATATTTAATATATATTTATTTTATTTTAAATTAAAATAAATTATAAAAAATAAAAATATAAAATTATAAATTATAAACCAAAACGTTATTTGAAATAGCGTCTAAAAAATAAAATATAAAATAATTAAAAAAATTATAAATTTATAATAAAAAAAACTGTTGTTAAACCGATCTAAATTATTATATTAGTTTATAAACTATAAATTTGAAAATTTAACAATTATAAACTATATATAAAGTATTCGTCATCCTCCATAATATAAATTATAAGGTATCAAGCAGATATTTTTATCATAGCCTTAAATACATTTTATTGGGAATATCAATTAATTAAATGTGTTACTTTTTTTGTGAGTTCTATTTATTGATTTGTTTTCTTCAATTTTCCCACATTTTTTTCTTTCTTACACCGCTAACCACTCAGTACAAAGGAAGCTGCAACAAAGTCCAAAAACACCTTAACCTCCATCCATGCTCTCAACCTTTGCACACCACCACCATAGCAAAAGGGTTTGTTTCTCACCTTCCTTTTCTGTCTCTTACCATATCAATCTGTATAAGATCTCTATTTCAAAATCCACTTGCAAATTTCTCAGTTGAATTTCCCTTTTTTGTTCAGTGTAGTGTTGTTTGAGAGGTATAGAACAAGATGGGCATGGCAAATCAAGATGCAATTAAGCAGTTGCAGTCTTTGATGGACAATGGTATGCTTCAAAACATTGAAATTTAGTTTGCATTCTTTTGTTTTTCTATGATCTTAAGCTCATTACTCACAAAAGTTTTTTTTTTGTTGTAGTTGATGAGCAGAAGAAGATCACATTCAAGGTTTGGATTTTGATTTTGTTTTGTTTTTGCTTGATCTTGGTTCTGAAGTTTTGTGATTGGTGATCTATAACCTGATTTGAAAAAAAAAAAAAAGAATTTTAATCACGTTTTGAAGGAAAATTATTGCAAAATTTGATCTGGATTTCTGGTACCTATCAGTTGCTAAGAGATTTTCTGGTTATGGGTAATTGTAAAGGGTGAATTTTGATGTTTGGAAAGAAATCTTAGAGTTGGAGAGTAAATAATGCTAAATTTAGTGATTATGCAGCTAAATAACAATATTTTAATGTATTTTTTTTCCTTTTATTGGTTCCTTGGTGAAGAAAATTGATTTAAAGTGAATTGATTCCGTAAAATTGATCTTGGCTGAAAGTGATTTATATTTGGATAAAAATTTTCGAAAGTGGATTAATCAGCCAATTTTAGTGTAAAAATCACGTTTAGATTCTAAAGAGTACGAATCATAGCTTCAAGTAGAATCAATTCTTGAAAGTATAATCATTTCTACTCGAGAACAACTAAATATGTTAGAACAAAATCAATTTTGGATGCTCCGGATGTGAAACCAAACATACACTTAATCATCCATTTTTATGTAATTCTGAGGGCTGTTTGGATGGACTTATTTAAGTTTGTCTACTACATGTAAGTATTTGCAAGACTGTTCGAGAGATATCAATAAGTTGTTTTCAACTTATTTTTCATAAGCTCTCTAAGATAGCTTATGAAAACAACTCGTAGTTTAGATGAAAACAATGACTTTATTTTATTTTTTCTTATTGAAATAACTTTTTCATAAGCACTTATATGCTATAAGTGGTTAATTAATTAAGTTATATGTCCAAACATAACTTTAATTAAGTTGTGTGTCGTACTATCTGCTATTGTGAGGTTTTTTGTCCTGAAACCTTTCTCTTTATATTTCAGAATATGCACCAGGGATATCCTACTGAAACATTAGGGAGGTTTCTCAAAGCTCGGGACGGGAATGTCGCCAAAGCTCATAAAATGGTTAGTTAAATCTTTTATGTTTGGTAGAATTTAGATGAAATTTCAGACATGTTGCATCACTTTTGATCTTTGGATGTAAATATTTATCTAACAATTTAAACTGTTGCAGTTAATTGATTGTTTACATTGGAGAGTGGAAAATGAGATTGACAAAGTTTTAGCGGTTTGTTTTCTCATTCCATGCAATTTCCTATTCTTCTTCTTCTTCGAAATTTATCTATTTTTTTGGTTATATTTTCGTGAAACTTGTTTGTTGAACTCTTTTATCAAATGGAGTTATGAATCAAATCATAATTCATAACAATATTAAAATGAATCATCTCATTTTTGTATAGCAGAAGCCAATCCCAACGGATTTGTACAAAGCTGTACGAGATTCTCAGCTCATAGGAATGTCTGGCTACACAAAAGAGGTACAAGAAAAGCCAAATGATATCTTTTTAGATTATCTGAAACACTTCTATCTATGCATATTTTCTAATTTCTTTCATTTTTTGGATGAATTATGCCAGGGCCTACCCGTCATCGCTGTTGGCGTTGGGCTCAGTACGTATGACAAAGCATCTGTAAGGATCTCATCATACCTTCTCTTTTCAACACATCTTTAAAATACGATAGATTTTAATACTTGCAAAGCAAGGCTCTACCTGAACTCTTCGGTGTTCAATGCCGGCTTTCGGTTTGTCTATATTTCACAATGTAGCATCTAAACTCTGTAGAATTATCGATGTGATATTAAATTGCCAGTTCCTTTCATTTTCAGGACAAATACTATATACAGTCACACATCCAAGTGAACGAATATAGGGATCGGGTGATCTTGGTGAGTTCCTAACTATTTAATATATAACACAAAACAAACTTAATAGAAAAGCGGACAGTGTGACACATTCGTCCTCGTCTTTCCACTAGTTATTCGTATAAACTCTCACGACTTTTTGTTTATTTGAAAAATTTATCTAGCCAAATGCTACAAAGAAGCATGGAAGATATAGTGGCACCTGCGTGAAAGTCTTGGATATGACTGGTTTGAGATTTTCAGCACTCAACCAATTAAGGGTACGCTAGCAATCCTTGAAAAATGTTTTATTTTTTGCCGCATCTCTCATTCTTTGAATTTTGTTATCATCAATGCTAATGTCGCTGCAATTATAGTTGCCAATCTGTGTTTGATCGCCTTTTGCAGCTATTGACAGCTATATCTACAATAGACGACTTGAACTACCCGGAAAAGACCGACACATACTATATCGTTAATGCACCATATGTATTCTCCGCATGTTGGAAGGTTTGTGCCAGTCTTAATGTTACCTGAGTTTCACTTCTCCCTTTTTAATTTCATTATCATAATATCGAAATCGAAAGATTAACAACTGAAATCTTTTTACTTCAATAATAATTGAAAGGTTGTAAAGCCGCTTTTGCAAGAAAGAACAAGGAAGAAAATCCAGGTGCTGCAAGGCTGTGGCAAGGACGAATTACTCAAGGTAATGGACTACGGATCTCTCCCACACTTTTGCAAAAAGCAAGATTCCAAGTCATCGAGACATAATGCAGTTGCAGCGATTACCGAAAACTGTTTCTCCTTCAATCACGCATTCCATCAACAACTCTATAACCACATAAAGCAGCAAGCTAACTCTGCAGAATCAACACCGCTGATGAGACAAGGATCTTTCTATGTAGACATACCAGAGCCAGACCCGGATGATGCCAAAATAGCCAAAACCATTGAAGTTGAGTTTCACAAATTGGAAAATCAGAACAACGGAACCGTTGAAGTTGAGTTTCACAAACTGGAAATTCAGAAGAAAGGCTTTACCAACTCGCGAACCGGTCTTGCTGTTAATGGAAGACATTGAGAAAGCTTGTGAAGATTCTGAGCCACTTTTATTTCTTGATTTGCTTTATGATATATATCTATTTGATATGGAAGGTTGTACCTGTTCTTTATTAGTATTAAGGTATACCAAGTTATTACTAGATGTAATGTAATATTGTAATGTTTGCATCATCTCAGATGCAAATATATTCAGACACAAACTTTAATCTAATTTCTATAACCACTTTGGATGATGAGTTTATGATATGTTATCCTTCTTTAAACTCTAGATTTTTATTTTGAACAATTATCTGAACTCAAGATTTACTCAAATGTTAAGACCTTATGAATAAAGCATCTTTTTCTGATTAAAAAATATATTTATTTAGCATGTATATTTCAAACTTATAAATTTTCATTTATTATACATAAGACTTTTTTTGATGACGTTTAAGACTTTGAAAATTATTATAGTTTTCAGAACAAAATGTTGTTGAGGCGTGCAATAACTATATTGTCAATAATTTTTATTTATTTCTTCGAAAGTGTTATGGAGTAATATTGTCTCAAATAAAATATTAAGTCAATAACATTCACAAAAATAAAAATAATTCACACAAAAGCATGATTGATTGAGCAATAATTAACTTAAAATTGGTGTTGCACAAATCAAATGACCACATTACCCTTTACTTGCATACTTAACTTCTCTATTATCTTCCTTATTAGGATAATTATAAACTTTTATTTGACAAATTCTATCAACAAAAATATTATGCAAAGACTATAGATTCAATAAACCAAAGAATAAGAAAAAAAGGAAAAAATGAGCTAATCAAGGGGTAAATTGGTAATTTATTCCTTATCTTTCACACATAAGTCCCGTGAAAGTGTTCAACTCATCAAACAAGAAAGCTTAATATGAACAGGAAAAAAATACAGATAGATATTTTACCAAAAGATTTTAATTTTTCCACAGGTTCCCTTTACATATAAGCATGTCCCATAATATATCACCAAACTATTAACACCATACAATACTTTCCTTCAAACACACTTTAACAAAAATCTAATCAAATTCCTCAACTACACACAAATCTTCAACATGTTCTTTTCTCACATTCCCAAGAGTTTCACAACAAACTATACAGGATTCTCACCAGGCAAATAAGAAGCAGATCCACCCTCAACTAAATGACTTTTCTTCCTCTGAAAGATACCACTAATATTAGGCAGCACAGCTTTCTTTGAAAACGAAACCTTCTCTTTTTCCAACTTCCTCACTTCCACTGTTTTATGAGGAGGAGGAAGATTCTGCTTTTGAATCCTATAATGCTGAGGAGATGATTCTGACGACAATGATATCTGTGTTTCGGCCAATATCCGAGCTGCAGCTTCGGCCGCTTTTTTCTGATCCCGTTCGCGCCACCTTCGAAGCTCACCTTCAACTGCTCTCTTTGCTGCTTCAGCCATCTCAGCCCTTTTCAAAGCCTCCTGTGTTGCGGTTTTCATATCATCAATCTCCTTCTGAGTTGCCTCCAATTTTTTCAAAATTTCGTTTTCGCTAGCTTTCACGGCTTCTACCTGTGCTTTGGCAGCATCCACTTTCATGTCTGCTAATTTATCAGATTCCTCGACTTTGCGGTTTAGTGACTCGAACTCCTCCATCGAGATTGCAATCACAGATCCGGATTCTGACGACGTTGATGCACGCGCAGCACTAGTCCTTTCGGTTAGCACTGTAATCTGCTCGACAGCACTAGCTTCAGCCGCTTTTGCTGCTTCTGCTTCTTCTATTGCTTCTTTAAGCTTTTTCTCTGCTGCTTCTAATGCAAGTTTAGTAGCTTCAGCTTCTTTCTTTAACTCAGCTGTCTTGTTCTTCATATCTTCGGCTTCCCGCCGTGCATCCTCAGTTTCGGATGTCAGCTGGCTCAGCGTCAAGATCATTTCCTCGGATGCACCTCTAACCTTAGATTCATCGGCTGAGACCGCTTCGAGCTCAGACTTACTTTTGCGGAGTTTGACGTGTAGATTCCCAACGGTGGATTCAGTTTCAGACTCTTTTTCCTTCAATTCAGAATGTTCTTTCTTTACATTCTCAAGTTCCACCTTCAGAGTCTCTACCAAGGTTCTAAGGGAGTTTTCCTCGTCTACTACTTTCTGCAGTGATTCTTTAGCACCGTCAAGCTCTGAAGTAACCGTTTTCACTGAGTTCAAGTCAGAAGACCGTTTGTTTTCCATTTCCTTTTGCAGAGCTGCAATTTCGCTCATTGTCTCAGCCAACTGTGCTTCAAGATTTTTTGAGAGCTCGGGATTGAATTCATTTTTCAAAGCAAGTAATTTCTTTTCTGATTGTTCAAGAGTAGCTTTGTATGATTGTCTAAGAGCATCTTTTTCAGATAATATCAATGCTTGCTGTTGCTGCGCTTCTGCGGATGCAAGCTTTGCTTGCTCAATTGACTCCTTTACAGCTGAAATTTCTTTCGACAGCTCAGATAACCTTTCAGTGTTTTCCTTCTTTGCATTCTCAGCTTCTTCCATTTGTTTGAGAGCCGACACTTTTGCATCAGAGGATGAATCATATTCCTGACGTGTTTTTCTCAGATCTTGCTTAGCAGCATTGAGTTCTGTCATAATAGATGCATAACTTTTAACTGCCGTTTCTAACTCTTCTTTCCAGGCACCATTGATTTCATCTGAGTTGCCATTCTTTTCTTTCACCTGATTTTTTGCAGCTTCTGTTGCCTTGATTGCTAGCTCCCTAGATTCAGTGATAAGTTTCAGCTTTTGTGTCAAATCATGGACTGTTCTTTGAGCCCTTTCAAGTTCCACAAGAGCTTGAGCCTTAGTAGTTTCAGCATTCTTTACTTGTTCCTTTAACTTGTTCAGCTCTTTATGTGATACATGAAGTTGTGTCTCCTTTGCCAAAACTCTCTAGTGAAACAACAAACTTGAAAAATTACGAAATGAAAAAGACAAAAAACATACTAAGCTTGAAAAATTGAAGTAGAACTTTTCAATGAGATAGCATAGTTCAGTGGTAAGAAGTTAGAAAAGCTAGCGTAATCTGAAGTCTGAAAACTTAGAATCTGCGCACAATTTCGTAGAGTACAAATAATTATAAGAATGCGATTTATCCTCCAAAGTCCAAACCATTTACAAATTCTGATAATCAAACTCAGAAGTCATACTATATTGTTTAAATAAAAGCTAAAACATGCTGAAAGTACTATTATAAAGGTCAGTATAATTAAAACCGTAAAGTTAGTGCTAATAAAATAAGATTTACAGTAAGATGTATAGCTGACACACGCACATTGAATATCATATAGAAGAATAGGCTCATTATGTGAAAAGAAACACAGTGCCTTCTGTTGCTTCTGTTAAAAAAAGTCATTAAAAAATGAAGAAATTCAACAGGATTTATCATGCTAATTATCCTAGAAATAAACTCTAGACCATACAGATCCAAAGAATACATGATGGTGAATATTGAGAATGTTCATGCTACCTGACTGAAACATAACTAAAGATTAACATGGCAATGAATGGAAAAGGAAGGAAGGGTTTGAGGAGTTAGAATCTATATAGAAGGAGAAGGAAGAAAGTGTGAGTTACACGAGCAAGGGTTTTTCAGCCTTTGAACAAAGAGGTTTGCAGAGCTTTGAAGTCTGTGTTATCATGTTTACTTCTACTACCCTTTGTTGTTTTTCTGTAGCAAGTGAAAACGTGGGAGTTCTCTGCATTTCCACCGCAAATTATAAAATACTCTCTGCATTTTCCTAATGCTGCTTGCAATGCATTCATTGACTTACTACTATTAGAGTGTATCTACAGACATAAACACTTAAGAGATTCTAATTTGCATAAGCTACCCAAGATAGCAAATGAAAACAGCTTATAGCTAATATGAAAACGGTATGACTTTATTTTATCTTTTGTTAAAGATATATACATAAGCATTTACATGCAAACAGATCCTAAAACTTACCAAATACACATTGCAACTTCCGTTGTTGTTTACAACACCAAAATGGATTTATAACTGAGAAAACATACTAACACACAACTGAAAATTACCTCAGAAGAATAACCTTTTGGCTTCTTAAAAATAAGTCTTTCCCCTGAGAAAGCACCTTCACCAAATAGAGACACAGCATCTTTAACAGACTGAAAAGGTGGACTAGTATCAATCTCTCCAATCACTGGTTTTGGAGTAGGCGAGGGAGAGTCAGCAACAGTGTTCCGGATTTTCGCAACCATTGTATTATAGATCTAAATATTAAAAACTTCAAAACCAACCTGTAATAAACATTGAAGAAACACATTAATTAATTAACCAAATAAGCTATACATATAAAACTTAAACGAATCCCAATTTACATATCTCTTCAATCATACAGTAAGATCACACCATTCGCCACCAATAACTTTTAAATTGGAATTTAGCATAAAAATGATTGCTGTAACTGTAAGATATATAAATGATTGGAAGGCAGTAACACTGCTGGCCCTTGGGTTCATTCAAAAGTTTGAAACAGTAAGATTCTCTCTCAAAGTACTTATTTTGAATTATTTCCACACAATCCATGATTCCAGAATCTCCCACTAACTAAAATTCATCAAAAACAACACAACATAACAATACACGTAACGCATAAACCCAACACAGAATCAACAATAATTAATGCTTATTAAACATAAAAACACTCCATTCACATTCACACTTACAAAACCTAATATATAAAACAAATAAACAATTTCATAACCTTTCAAACCCCAAAAATCATCAAATACACACAAGTCAAGGATCAAAATCATACAACAAAACGAAAACACACCAAATTGAAACTCCATGAGAAAAAAACAAGTCCAGCCAAAACTCAAAACGACATAAAACATCACCAAACGCAAACACCGCAAATAGAACTTGAATTTGAAATTAAAAACTACAACAAAAATTGCAGAGAGTAACAAAAAAAAGAAACTAACAAAATAAACTAGCTCAGAAAATCCTCACAAAAAAAAAAGCAGAATCTCAAAACCAAAAACGCTTAAATCTTCAGCTAAATCAGCAAGAAAATCGATACAAAAAAATTATAATTAATTTCAAAAATCACCTTACAAAGGCGATTCTTCAGCTTTGAAAATTGAAAATCACTGGTTTTGAATCTGTAGTGAGAGAGAGAGTTGTTAGAGAGAGAAAGTGATTGAAAATGAAAAGCTGTTGAAGACAAAATTTTCGCATCAGCAGTGTATAGTAACAAGAAGAAGAGACGAGAGGGAAGTATCAGGTGCATCCGTTACTATTTTAAAATCTGTGGTCCTGCTTTGAGGATTGTTTGTATTTGCATTGGACTTTGTAAACTTTGGTGACTTTATTTTTATGAAAAGACTTTTATGTCCTTGAGATGCATTCTTGTAGGAGCGTGAGAAAAGGGGTAGGGGCATATGAGTGATTGCCACGTCATGTTCAAAATGAAAGACCATAGATAGGAAAATGAAAGAAAGAGATGTTGAGACAAAAAGGTGAGTCCTTTTTTATTTGCCTTATTTTCTTCATGTTTGTCGTCAATTATTGTGAAAATAAATTGGGAAGTAAGAGAAAATTTAAGTGAATAAAGCGAGAAACTCTCACACGGTTTTTGCTTTTTATAAATTTATCAATGATGGTTGTTAATTTTGATGGGAGAAAATTAGTTGTTTGTAGAGATGGGAATGATGGAAAGTTTCCATAGTTTAGGGTTGTTAGGGTAGTTATGAAATATATGTATTGATTATTAAATTTAAAAGTAGAATGGGTTTTAATTTTTTATTTAATTTTAAACTATTCTTTTAATAATTATTATAAAAAAGTAAATTTGAAAATTTTTGTTTGTGATTTTACCGTCACACATCACAGTAGTGTCCGCTAACTATCAATATAACACTAGTTTTTAAATTAATTTATTTTATTAAGTTGCTTGTGTTGATGTGATTTATTGAAGTATTATATGCATTTTTGATGGGGTTATTTGGAGTTGCATTTGTTAATTAAAATAATAGAAAATTTGATAAAAGAATGAAATATTGAGATATGGGGGTGGAAAATAGAATAATGATATAATTGGTGTGGTAAAGAGTGAGAGACCAAAAGTGGAGGAGGAAACTTAGAAATAATAAAAGATTAAATTAGGTTTTTCATTTAAAAGAAAATTGGAGAGAAAATATCTTATGAAATTTGCATACTTTGGAGCAAAATAGGGGTTTGAGAGGCAAAAACAAAAGCTTCCATTTTTTTTTACTAAGGGGGAATTATTCATCTATGAGTGTGTTTTATATGTCCATTATATTATGTATGATGTTTTTCTGTTCGATTCGGGTGGTTGGGGGTTGAAATCATAGCTTTAGAAGTGCTATGATGCTGAATTGGTGGATTATATAATCAGCACAGCGGTGACAAACATCATTGGCGTGCTGACTGATCGTCATATATTTGGAAGAGCTGACGGATGTCAGCGTAGTGACGGGGCGACCGTCATGGTCCCTGAGACGAGTATTTTGTCCAGGTGTCATTAGAGTGACGATTTTGTGAGACAGAGAGGGCGACGACCGTCAGTCCCTGCAGTTGATCGGTTTTGATCTCTTGACTTAATTTTTTTAGTAGTTTCTGATTGCAACGATGTTTTGTTGTTGTTTTGATGAGTTTGGTGAGTTTTATAAGTCGAATTAGTGTGGTTAAGTTTTTATAAAATATTATGTGTTAGTGAGTATTGTGTTGAACATAATGTTGATAATGATATGATTATATGTGTTATGTTTAGTTATAATTACATGGTGTACTGAATTATGGTGAATTATCATTAAATGGTGAAGTGAGGTGTATGGTTTAGATAAGAATGGTTGGTGATGATTATTGTATTATAATTTTATGGCATTCCATGCATCGCGTATACCGGAGATGGGTAATTGGTGAGGAGACTAAATCAGTAACGTAACTCTGATGTCCAATATTGATGATGTGGTTGATCGATACCATAACTCTAACATCCAAATTGGTGAGTAGATTGGTACCACACGAATATTGGTGAAGAAGTGATGAGTGCATTGGATATACATTTGCACTTATGATTATGATTGGTGATGGTTGTGAATGATATATAAATATGTTGGTGACTGGTGATGGTTGTGAATGATATGAATGCATTGATGTTTGAGTGTGTTATCTTTTATTGCTTTATACACCACTAACATTTTTGAATGTATTCTCACCCTTTGGCTGTTTTGTTTGTGGTATTTTATACTCTCGTGGTACAGACACTCACGTAGAGAAGCTCTAGTTGTTGTCGAGCTGGAGGATGGCGTTCAGGCCACTTCACTTTGTTGTTTTTCGAGTTATTTAGTTTTGGTGTCGCTCTAATATGTAACACTAGAGACGAGTTGCTTTATTATATTATGTGTTTCTCTCTGAGATGTTTTGAATTATTCCATTATTTATTGGTGTCGAGACATATAAATATTTACATTGAGGTTTTTATGTTTATTTTGTTGTTTTAATGTTAAGTTTTGTTGTGTAATGTGTTTGGTGATGAATGTGTAATATCCTATTTGAGGAATTTAATTGAATTATTTTATAAATAAAGAATTAGAGTTTTAGGGTGTTACATGGTTGGTGTTAGAGTAGGTCATTCCATTCGTCCTAGGTTGTGAACTAGTTGTTACTATTGGAATAAAATTGGTTGATATCAAATCCCTTGGATTTTGAAGATAACAAAGTATTTAAAGAACAATTAAGTATTCTAACATCTGTTCAAGTATGCAGAAATCATATCATTAATAACAGATGAAGAAATGCTTGAGGAATCTGAATTTGAAGATCAGACTTTTTGGCTCTGAATATCATTTTTGAAGACTTTGCCTCTGATGGAGATACATACTCTGAAGAAAGTCAACCTCTAGTGACTCAGACTCTGAAGCTTCAGAAGCCAAGAAGAGGACTATGATGTGATCAGCCTATGAAGAGTAAAGTCTAAAGGAAAGTTATCCTCTAAAGTAGAATATCTTCTACCAAGGTAACTCTGATAGACTCAGAACCTTTTTGATCACACGAAGACTTAAGAAAAAATCTCTCCTTGGTACTCGAGCTTCAACGAATCATTTCTCTTGTAAAAGGGTGTTTGCTTGATGTGTCTAATCAAGTACAAAGGTTAATCATCCTTTTGGTGAAAGTCTTCAACGTCCATATTCTCTCCTCTATATATAAGAAGATGTAGACCCAAAGAAGAAGACTACCAAGTTGCGATACACCTAAAGACTCTAAACATTGACATTCAAAGAGAAGTTACTCTGTCAAATTTATTAGACTTGGAATGTCTTAACATTGTGAATATTTTAGAAGTTCTTAAGTCTTAAAGTCTTTTTAAGTTGTATTTTGTCTACACCTTTGATTGTATATCAAGTGTAGTTTTTACCCAAATCTCTTAACAGTTTGTTATATAGTCATAAGTCTCTTGCTTGTGTGCTTGAGTATTTGAAGCCTCTTGCATGTGTGCTTAAGCAAAGGAAGTCTTTAGCTTATATGCTAAAGCAAGGAAGTATTGAGCTTGTGTGCTTGAGCAAGGCACTCTCAAACTTGTGTGTTTAAGCAAGAAAGTCTTATACTTGTGTGCGTAAGCAAAGGAAGTCTCTTGCTTGTGGGTTTGATCATTTGTAATTAGATTTGGTTATAGTGGAAACCCCTTAAAGAGAAAGGAGACTGTAATATTCTCAAGTTATGATATGAACTAGGATAATTGTTTGTGTCTTGTGTTTTACTTTACTTGCTTCTGAACATTATTCTGCTGCCATCATTTGCTTATCTTTGAATTAGACTTTGTTACATAATGTAATAAAGACTTTTAAGAGTTCAAAATATGAGTAATTATGAAGTCAGACTCTGAACTGCAGGTTCAGACTCTAATTAAGATCAATCAAAAGCAATAACATAAAAAGTTTGAAAAAGCCAACACAACTCAACCCCCTTCTTGTGTTTTTCTCACCTTTGGTTGGCATCAGAGCAAGATTTATGTTGAACACTTAACAATGGTACAAAAAAGATTCTGAGAAAAAGTGCATATCTTTCATATGGCTGATGGTTCTTGAGTATCTGGTCATGGTGGGGGTTCCACTAATCATTTTGGTAGGTTTAATCATGAAAATAGTACTTTTGAGAAAAATAATTATACCGCTAGACCTCTTACTTTCACTAGAGATTCCACTGGGTTTGAATGGTGGAAAAACAAAAT